CGTCACTATAGCATCGTTTTAGGTATACGACCCGAAATAGGTGACGGTTAAAAGAGGCGTCCACTCTAATTACACCCACGAGTGAGAGAAATCCAGTGCGAGCTTACCGATAACGGATGGTGACGTCCCTTTCTAGACGGGGCTATGGTGTGGTATGCGTCCAGAGTATTTAACACAATAGAACGGTGACATGTTACACTGGGAGTGGAGATGGTTGTTGGGGCATCTGCCAAAGATGAAAATAGTGACTTTGAACGCTGCTTTGAACACTATTCCAGTTAGATCCCGTCAGTTTAATGTGGGAAGGAAGCCCGAAGTAATGCAGTTCTCGGACGTTTTCCACTTAAGTGAACCCCTGAGCATTAGTATGGTGCTGACAAACCTAGAAACATAATGGCGGAGAACGGGGATTCGAACCCACAATCACAGGTTTCCGGCGTGCCCAAGGGACGCAACTCTGCACAACGAATTGCGGCGCCTTAGTCGACTGGGCCACCGAGCCTCCAATAACTTTAAACGAGTTGGGGGCTTCTAAGAATGACAACCGTTCTGACAAACAGATGTGTTTGACGTGTGTGAATAACAACAGTGAAGGGTTTGACAAATCCAGATTATCACCAGCTCAAACCCCAGGGGGGAACTGTGGGTAGGTCATCAAAGTCACCGTGGGTGCAGTCTGAAATATGCACGTTGCATGTGTACGGAGTTTCCATCTCTGACATACAGGACATACAGGACATTAGTTACATTGTGTCCAGATTCCAACTTCACAGAGGCATTCAAGGAAACCCCGAGGACTGATAAGACAAGACCAGGAACTTGATTGCGCAAGTCTTCTATCTGCCCAACAGATCTCGACGCTGATGGATGTCGTGCCAAGGGATCCTAAACTATCTTACCTACAGGGGAAGACTCCAATTACGCCCTATGCAGACTTGGGTAATCTACCACAAAGCGCTTCGTCTGAACGATGTTGTACAACCCCCAGCCATTCAATTCAATTCAATTCTTTTATTGTATGAAAGGCCATAGGCCCATATACAACGGAGTTACATAACATATTTTATAAAATACAAAGTCAAGGTAACAATTCACTTCGTAACAAAAAAGCATTATGTATGTACAAAGCCAGTTGATGTTGTGTTATAACATCCTTGCAAGACAGTAATGAAGACAATCTTTTAGCATTAAAATGAGGTAGAGACCACTGCGGTAAGTACTTGTCTCTTAGATTTTCGTATATAGGGCAAATAAACATGAAACGGTATTCATCTTCGACAACAATGTCACAAAATGGGCATAATCGTATCGATTTCTCAATAGATGAAAATCTCCCTGTGTTAATTTTTAGATCATTCAGGCCAAGTCTAAAACGAATAAGGGTGTTACGAGAATTCCTGTACCGTAAATTTGATAAATAGGATTCTGGTTCAAGCAATGACTTGAATTGGCGATAAGTATCATATCTTGAACTTTCATAAATATCTGAATGCCATTTCTGATAAAACATGTCAATGGCACGCATGTGAAAGTACTTAATGAAAGCATTTGCATTACCAATTGTCTGGGACAGCCAAATGAAACCAAAGCCATATGTAAAAAGCAATGTACGAATACAAGAAGCCCATGTGTTCTTTTCAAGATTGTCGAGGTGTACGAGCATGTTGTAGGCTTTCTTGGGTAAACGGTGTTCAGGCATTATTATTATTTTACACCAATACTTCAAACAACGAGTGTAAGATCCAATGTACAATGGGAATCTCCCGCATTCTCCATAAACCATATTACTTGGTGTTGACATACCAACATTCAAAAACTTTTTACAAGCGAGGAGATGAACCTTTTCAATTGTATAGAACTCCTTACAACCCCATATCTCAGACCCGTATAGTAAAATAGGTTGTATTTGAGAATCAAATAATTTAAAATACATTTTTGGTGAAATAACTCCGAGCTTAGACATAACAAAGTGGACTTGTTAGCTTTCTTTGCTCTGTTTGTGAGATTAATTACTGACTTATTCAGATTCAGTGTATGGGTAAACAATATGCCAAGGTATTTGTATTCATGCACAACATTAATACATGTACCTTTAAAAAACCATTTCTCTCTTGTGGCCACTCGACCACCTCCACGAAATATAACAATATTTGTTTTATCAAGATTAACACTAAGTTTCCATTTATCTGAATATTCCGAAAGTATGTTAAGCTGCTTCTGTAGACCAATAATAGTACTAGACATCAAAATCACATCATCTGCAAAAAGTAGCATGAAAAGTTCTATTATATCAGGGGAGAGCTGGACGCCATGTCTACCAGACTGTATGATATCAACATATAACTCATTTATAAAAAATGAGAAAAGTATAGGACTTAAAACACATCCTTGACGTAAACCTATCGGACAATCAAAAAAGTCACTCTTAATATCACCACAGCGAACACATGATTTTACATTTGCATACATTGATTTAATAATGACAAGCATTTTGACTCCTAAACCCTTATTTTTCAAACACCTCCACAAATAAGCTCTATTTACAGAATCAAATGCCTTTTTAAAATCAACAAAGGCCACATACAACTTACGTTTCCTGTATGATAAATATTTCTCAATGACTGCATACAAAGTAAATATGTGGTCAAAAGTCGAATAGTCCTTTCTAAATCCCGCTTGTGTTTCAGGGATCAAATCTCTCATATTTGACCACTGTGTTAATCTATTATTGATGATAGATGTAAATGCTTTACTAAGGATACTCGTGAGAGATATACCCCGATAATTGTCAGGATTGTTTACGTTTCCATTCTTGAATAACGGAATAATAATAGATCTTGACCAGATAGAAGGAAAAATACCTGTATCAAAAATTCGATTGAAACATTTAACCAGAAAAGGCATAGTATCAGGTAGTGAGTACTTGAGCATTTCTGCTATAACACAATCAATCCCAGCAGATTTACCTGTTTTAAGGTGAGATATAGCATTAAATATTTCCGTTTCCGTGATAGGCGATTCCAACAGAAGCATGTCAACATCACTAAGAATTTCACTGACGCCATCATCATCACGTTCAAAGCACTCATTGTCTACCAAATATATCGAATCATCTTTTGAGAATAACTTCTTGAAATGATGTAACCATTCTGTTTGGGATATAGATCCTTTGGGGGTAGGATGTCTCTGAAGAGAACGTATAGTATTCCAAAATAATTTCGGACTGTGTAAAGTGCTGTTTAGTCGGACTAGCCGTGACAATTTAAGATCATATTTGAACTTTCTACAAAAGGTTTTATACACATTTCTCAGTTTACAGTAGCGTTGTCGGTTGTATTCACTGCGACAACACCTATACCTTCTGAGAGCCTTCCTGGATTCAGATCTTGCTGCCCTACATGCTATATTCAACTTTGGTTTATCGTGTTTATTTTCACCATATTTGATCTGTTTCCTCATACAGGACGCCGAGTCTAGAACATACTGTACCAAATATGTAATCCCCTCCTCTACATTAGCTTCAATTTTATCCATCAAGGAATTTTCATGAATATGCAAGGACCATCTAAGTGCTGTGATAAAAATGCTTTTCTTCGATTCGTTCCATGAAAATGTACTGTTCATAGAGACATCATCCTCACAGTCTAAACTATGTATGGCACGATTGCTACAAGGAAACCTGCAGGATAACTCAAGAGGGAAATGGTCTGAATCTGATCGATCACCAACATTTAACATATCTACATACTGGAAAAAATCAGCAGATGCAATAAAATAATCAACAACACTAGAACCAGTATCTCCTACAAAAGTAAACTCGCCTGCACTATCACCATAAACTCTCCCATTTAGTATAAACATACGAAGTACAAAGCATAGATTCAATAAAATGCGTCCGAATCTATTGATAGTACCATCGTGCGATACACGTTGTTCAACAGGGGCATTGTCGACATCAATGTATACATCATCATGTCCAAAGTCATCACTGTGAACTCTTAAATTGTCTAATTAATGGTGATAGAGGATATCAAAGTTTCAACTCGATCCAGCACTTTAATATTGCCTTTAATTTCAAACTTCACAAATTCCATATAACATAATTCCATAAATTCAGTGAATATCCACACAATGATTGAATAATATATCACACATTCCAAGAATAAGTCGTAATATAATAAACAGTTGCAGCACAGTTGCAGGATAAATGCAGGATAGTAACTCGGACAGTAGCTCGGACAGGTTGAAAAACCGTATGTCCTCTATTCCCTTAACACAATCTTCTTACACTCTCTTAGAAACATGTCTTACTTCTTTCGTATCTTAAAACTCTCTGCTCTCTTTCTCACACTCATTCGTCCAACTATATATCTGAAATTCTTGTGGGATGCTTATCGCTGTTGATCAGGTCACGACCTCTAGGACTCCACACAAAACAATTAACTTTAAAGTCTTAGCTGCAACATTATACTATTGCTGTCACCAACCCCTGGGAAAATAGCCTGAAACGGCCACTGGCAGCAAGGGCTGGCTGTTTCTAATGTTTTATCTTATAACTATACTTAACACATGCATCCATACACACATACAAACCCTAACAAAGTTCCAATTAAAAGGATTCTCAATGAACCACAAATACCGAAAATTCGGCTCTAACATTCCGGCCCCTAATTGTTACTTGTATTTGACTATAACAATTACCAAGAACTCATGGACAGAGCGAATTTTGAATGTACAACAATGTTTTCCCAAGCAACTGGAATTAGCTACATAACTACGTTCTATAACATAAGATAATCCTGTTTGTCTTAGTTAAATCTTAGTCTTTTACATTATGCATGGACGTGGTAAACATATGATATTAGTCAATGCCATTCATCTTAACATCAAGACAGCTCATTGTATAGGAATTACATCTTATGTTCTATACAGTCAACACTCCATAAGTCTTGATAATGTCTTTAAGGCAGTGTCCTCATCACACAATCTCAAAACACAGCTTAAGTGTCACTCTCTAGAAGCAAACATAGCTTGCTAATAGGTCTGTCCAAAACCTTTGTCTGGGTTTTCACCTCAACCCGTCTTACAACACCCTTTCTGTCAGGCATAAGCTTCACAACCTTGCCCATCGACCAAGAGTTTCTAGGTGCAGTATTGTCCACTATGAGCACAATGTCACCAATCTTCAAATTTCTTCTAAGCTTCACCCACTTCTGTCGCTCCTGTAGTAATGGCAGGTACTCTCTTAACCATCTCTTCCAAAACAAATCTGCCATGTACTGCACTTGACGCCACCTCCGTCTTGGATAATGACCATCAACACCAAACATACCTGGTGGCAAATTTGGTTTTCTTTTCAAGAGCAACAAGTGATTTGGAGTGAGGGCTTCCAAATCATTTGGATCACTTGATGCTCTGGAGATAGGTCTATTATTGATAATAGCCTCTACCTCACACAACACAGTTCGCAAAGTTTCATCATCTAACGTTTGTTCTCTTACCAGAGATCTCAACACTTTTCTCACGGTTCTGATTTGTCGCTCCCACACGCCGCCATGGTGGGAACCAGCAGGAGGATTGAATGTCCATTCGACATTTCTTTGTAACATCTCTTGATGAATCTGACACTTGTTCCAGTTCTCTAACTCTTCTCTGAGCTCACGCTCACTTCCAACAAAGTTGGTACCATTATCTGACCTGATGACTTTCACTTGACCTCTTCTAGCCATGAAACGGCGCAATGCATTAATACAAGAGTCAGTGTCTAAGCTATACGCCACTTCTATGTGCACAGCACGCGTTGTGAGGCACGTGAACAAAACTCCATACCTTTTTTCATGCTTTCGTCCACGTTTTACATCAAATGGACCAAAGTAATCCACTCCAACAAAGGTAAAAGGAGGTTCATCAGGAGTCACACGTTGAGCTGGCAAGTCAGCCATCTTTTGATTACTTGCTACAGCATGATTGCGTCGGCAAGTTACACATCTGTGTATTTCTTGCCTTACTGCTGCATTGGCTTTGATAATCCAATATTTCTCAAACAATTTTGAAAGTACAAAGTTTCTACCTGAATGCCCACATTCACGATGAACATGGCGAATTATCAGTTCCGAGACATGCGATTTCTTTGGTAGAATCACTGGGTGTATGGAGCTTTCAGGCATGTTAGCGCGACTTAGTCTTCCACCCACCCTCAGCACACCATCTTCTACAAATGGATCAAGCTTGGAGATTGGACTACCTTTGTTCAAATCAAGTTCTTTGTTTGAATTAAGTCTTTCAAGTTCACTTGAAAAGTCTTGCTGTTGAACATAGCGAACAATGGCTTTCTCTGCATTTTCTAAGTCTTTCACAGTCAACACTACAGGCATGCTTTGCTGAGGTGCTAAGCCTGCCTTCTTCTTTTGACTGCGATCCAGGAGTACTTCCCGTATCCTGAGCACCCATGCGATAGCCTTCTTCAGTGCAAACCAGTCAGAATAGTGACTGATAAGGCTGTCTATTTCCTTACATGGCTTGCTGTAGTCTATCAAGTTGACTCGGGCAACCTTCTTTAATTCAACGTCTTTCTTAGGAATATCTGTCAAAATGTGTGTCTGTTGAGGCCACATTTCTTCATCTTCCCACAGGAACTTTGGTCCAGAGAGCCATCTGGTATCTTTCAGAAATGCATCTATTGACAGTCCTCGAGATGCTTCATCAGCAGGATTGTTCTGAGTGTCCACATACTTCCATTGAGATGGGCTTGAGCCTTCATGAATTACTGACAGCCTATTTGCCACAAAGGTATGGAATCGCTTTGAATCATTGGCGATGTATCTTAAAACTGACATACTGTCTGACCAAAAGTAAGTTTGGTCAATTGGCATTTCCAGCTCTCGTTTGAGCATACTGTCTACCCGTATTGCCAGAGTAGCGGCTGATAGCTCCATTCTTGGTATCGTGATCTGCTTAAGTGGGGCAACTCTTGATTTGCTGATGAGAAATGCACAATGAATTTGACCAGTGCTACTGACTTGTCTTAGGTAAGAAACAGTTCCATAACCTGTTTCACTGGCATCCGAAAAATGATGTATTTGAGATACCATCTTCTGATTACTATCATTTGGTTGAATGCATCTTCTAATCACCATTTCCTCAAGCCTGTGTAGTTCCGACAACCATTTGGTCCAGTCCTTCTGCAAGGGAACGGGGATTACGTCATCCCATCCTATCTTAAGTCTGCAGAGGTCTTGTAGAATTCCCTTTGCTTTGAGAACATAAGGGCCTGCGAATCCCAATGGATCATAGATGGAGCTGACAGTTGACAGTATTCCTCTTCTCGTTATTGGTTTGTCTTTGATTGCAATCCGGAATTTAAATGTATCTGATTCGACGCACCAGTGTACACCTAATGCCCTCTCGATTGGTAAAGCATCATCCATGTCCAAGTCTTTAACTTCTTTGGCCCGCTCCTCTTCTGGGATTGATTCTATTGCAGCTCTGCTGTTACTTATCCATTTTGTCAAGCGGAATCCACCCTTTTTACAGATTTCTCTCAGCTTATGTGACATTTCAATGGCCATTTTCTCAGATTGGACTGAAGTAAGACAGTCATCCACGTAGAAACTCTTTTCAACAGCATGAACCACTTCTTTGCCAAACAAGTCCATGTTAGCCTTCGCTGTTTCTTTCAAGGCAAAGTTGGCACAACTTGGTGATGAGACAGCACCAAATAAGTGCACTTTCATCTGATATTCTTGTAATTCTTCCTCCAAGTTTCCATTGGGCCACCATAGGAACCGCAGAACATCATAGTCGTCTGGTTCAACTCTAACCTGGTAAAACATAGCTTCGATGTCTGCCATCAGAGCTATTGGCTCTTGGCGAAATCTCAGGAGCACTCCCAGTAGGGTATTGGTTAGATCCGGCCCCTGTAAAAGGTGGTCATTTAGAGATTTCCCTCTGAAGGTTGCTGCACAGTCAAATACAACTCGTATCTTCTCTGGCTTTTTTGGATGGTACACACCATGATGTGGTATATACCACACCTTTCCATCCTTACGGTCTTTCTTATTCTCTGGTACTTTCTGGGCATAGTCTTTGTCCAGGAGATCTTTCATGAATACCTTGTAGTCTTCATAAAAGTTTTCATTCTTCTTAAATTTCTTCTTTAGTGAAATGGCTCTTTGTTCAGCTTGTACTTTATTGTTGGGCAAATCTAATTGGGCATCTTTGAATGGGAGTGACATCTGGTAATGTCCTCCTGTCAGTGTCTTTGAGGAGTTCATGATGTCTAAGAATTGCTTGTCGTCTCTTGACATCTCAGGTTGATCATTACTGATGCGCTCGTTGAACTCCCTGTTGAAGTATCCTATTAACTGAAGATCCAATTTCTCGTCTCCAAGAACATCAGTCCTGTTTACTGAGATCTCACTGGGAGACTCTGATTCCTGTACTAGCCCATTTACAATCCATCCAAGAATGGTTCTGACTGCATAGGGCCCGTTACAATCGCTGTTGATTATCTCATATGGTTCCATTGCTCTTGGGACATTGTTGCCAATAAGGAGTCCTATCTCCGCATCTATAGGTGGTAGTGTGACGTCCTGTAGATGGGGCCATTGATGGATGAACTTTTCTTTGGGGATGGTGCTTGTGGAAATTGGCATTTCATCCTGTGTAAAGACAGAAGGCAGCTTGACCCAATTGTTTCCGTCAATGTCACCAACTTCTAAATTTGTTAGGATGGAGGTATTTACAGTTTTCTTTTGAGTCATGGTGCTGACAACTATGTTTGTCATCTTTCCTGTGACTTGGAGCTCCTCTGCCAGCTTGCTGGTACAAAAGGTTGCTGAACTGCCGTTGTCAAGGAAGGCATATGTTTTGACATATCTGTTACCAGAGTTGACTTTAATCCTAACGGGGACCACAGGCATGAAGCTCAAGTCTTTGTGATCCCCGCTCTCACTCGTAGCCAAACTGTTGTTTGTGACAACCTTTGGCTTCGTTTGGTCCATTTCTTTCTTTTCTCTGTCCCTGCTGTTGTCATGAAAACAGGTTGCATGTCTCAATTTACATATATGACATGTCAATCTGCTGGGGCACTCGCGACTCATATGTCCAAATTGTAAGCAGCCAAAACACAAGCCCTTTGGTCTTAAGAAGTCAATCTTCTCATCCAACGTCTTACGCTGCATTCCCCTGCACATTTCCATGGTGTGGTCCTCATTGCAGAACCAGCATGGCTTGATGAATGCTCTAGACGTGTTGACTGTTCTTTCTCTAGTTGCAGTTGGCTGACCAGATGTCATCAATTTTGGGTGAACTGGGTAGGGTGCCCTGGTGGCAGTTTCTTGACCTAATTCAGACTTTGATGTGTCGGTAGCAAAGCTCTTATATCTCTTTGGCGCTTCTTTCATCTTTGGTCTTGCTTGAACTTGGATATCGTCGATGATATTGCCAAACAAAGGACTTGACAAGATCTGTGCTTGTTTATCTACGAAACCAACAAGGTCAGCAAAAGTGACATTTCTTCTTTCCAAGATATTAAACGAAACTGTTCTCCATCTTTCTCTTAACTTATATGGCAACTTTTGGATCAACTCTCTGAGGTTCTTTGGATGTTCTAATTCTCTTAGATAGTCTATATCGGTCATGGTATTTCCACAGCTGGTCAGGAATATAGCAAAGCTGTTCAGTGCTTCGCTGTCCTCTGACTTAATAGCCGGCCATTTCAATGCTTTGTCCATGTAAGCTGTTGCTAACTTGTACTTATTCCCAAATTTCTTCTCCAACTGTGACCTGGCTTGTTCATAGCCACTTTCAGGATTCATGAATAGACAGCTTCTTACCAAGTCATTCGGTTCACCGTTGGTGTACTGATCCAAGTAATAGAGCCTATCTTTTGGATTGATGGTTTTGTCCTCTATACCATGCTCGAATGCTCGTATGAAGGGCTTAAACTGTAGAGGGTCGCCACTGAACACAGGAATCTTCCTAGTGGGTAGCGTGGCCAGTTTCTGGTGTTCTACCACTAGCTGGATTATCTCATTCTGTTGCTTACAGACTTCATCAAATTTTGAATTGTGGACTCCAACCTGTAGGTTTGTACTCTGAATAGGGGTAAATTCTTCAGCTTCTGGGTTCAAATCTTTATTTCGGGTCTTTGCTGGCTTGAAGGACCTTTGTGAACTTTCTGGTTTTCGGGAACTGTGTGATTCTCGGTCATACTGGTCAAAAATTTCATACTGGGCATCGGCAATTTCTACTTCTGTTTCAAGTTCCAATCTTTCTCGTCTTTGTTTTAATCTGTTTTCTTCTTCTTCTAATTGATGTCTTCGTTCTAAACATTTTTGTCTGGCAATAAGTTCGGCCCTTTTCGCCAGGATCTCCATTTTGGCAGAGGAGGCAGAGGAGATTACTGAACCCTTAGGTAATCCAACTTGGGAAACACTATCTTCTGGTCTAATGTCATCTCCCGTACTGTAATGTTTAATGAAGGATGTAACATTTCTTTCAAATTGCGAAAAGGTGCATAGCTTTGATTGGAACCAAGCTGCTTCTTCGTCTTTAGCTGATTGGCTATGAAGTTTATCATGATAAGCTTTAGCCGATTCTTGAAACTTGTCACATAATTCCTTCCAATCTTCAAATTCATTTTTGACGGCATCCAAATCTGCATCAGAGCTCATCAAGTATTCAATGTCCTTTATCTTTGAAGAAACCTGCTTGTATAAGAATTTCATTTTATCCTGTGCCATGTTCAAAACATAATTTTGGCCCTTTTCAGTCTGTTTTCTTAATCTTGATTCAGTTATTAATGATTTAGCATTTCTTGCAGGTTCATGAATCCTTTCTTTGTCACTCGTAACAGCATCGCTCAATGTTCTACTTGCCATGATTTCAAATCAATTCAATACCAGTTCCAATAATCTTGCAATATTTGATGTAACTTACAGTTCTTGAATTCCGTAATCCTATGTGATAAATCCAATTCAGTGTATACACGATTCCAGTGAAATATAATCCCTCCTGTATTTGCCTGTTTCTGAATAAACTCACACTTCCATACTCGAACAGGTCGTCTTATTACCCGTAAGTTCTTTTATCACGCATTGAAGTCACATTTACTTAACAAAGTCAACTTCTTGAGAAAATAAAATACCTTACTTCAACTTTGAGTCCTAAATCCAATTTGTGTTAATCCGTTTTGAACTTTGCAGGATCCTGTTGCCAATTCACAAATGGAGACACAGTCTTCTTTATGTCCAAGTCTTAGGTTCACATCCGGATTTTCACGGGTTTTTCAACTTTTAATGTGAACTCTTAAATTGTCTAATTAATGGTGATAGAGGATATCAAAGTTTCAACTCGATCCAGCACTTTAATATTGCCTTTAATTTCAAACTTCACAAATTCCATATAACATAATTCCATAAATTCAGTGAATATCCACACAATGATTGAATAATATATCACACATTCCAAGAATAAGTCGTAATATAATAAACAGTTGCAGCACAGTTGCAGGATAAATGCAGGATAGTAACTCGGACAGTAGCTCGGACAGGTTGAAAAACCGTATGTCCTCTATTCCCTTAACACAATCTTCTTACACTCTCTTAGAAACATGTCTTACTTCTTTCGTATCTTAAAACTCTCTGCTCTCTTTCTCACACTCATTCGTCCAACTATATATCTGAAATTCTTGTGGGATGCTTATCGCTGTTGATCAGGTCACGACCTCTAGGACTCCACACAAAACAATTAACTTTAAAGTCTTAGCTGCAACATTATACTATTGCTGTCACCAACCCCTGGGAAAATAGCCTGAAACGGCCACTGGCAGCAAGGGCTGGCTGTTTCTAATGTTTTATCTTATAACTATACTTAACACATGCATCCATACACACATACAAACCCTAACAAAGTTCCAATTAAAAGGATTCTCAATGAACCACAAATACCGAAAATTCGGCTCTAACAATCACTTTCCTCAGAAATGGGATTATTTTCGTTGCTTGTGCGGGCATTAAAATCACCACAGAGTAGCACATGTGAAGAAGTGAAATCAGACCAATGCTCCAATATAAAAGCTTCCACTTTATCAATAAGGCAACCTGAATCAGTTCTCCCTTTGTAAAATGTTGAACCTGCCGGAGGGACATATGTACACAACAACATTAAATCACATTTCAAATTAAACACAGGATAAACGGTTACAGGATCTAAACTGGTGGCTCTTCGAGCCGAGTGACGCCCTATGAGTTGGAAGGGGCTGTTTGTTCCACCTTGGTTTCTACTAGACGGTGCTAAAGAAGTTGGACGAGACGGACTGTGCCATCGTTCTCATCGCTCCATGTATTACCTATACTCATCCATGGAAGAACCTATCAAACTCCCGGAACGTCACAATCTTCTGGACCCGTGAAGGTCCGGGGTAGAATAGGTCTTCAGCAACCCATGCTTCTGACTCTCAGAACTTCACATGTAGAACCTGACCTGCCTGTGTCGGGGTTTAAGAGATTTATTCCCCCACTGAGAAATTTATTCCTCTTCATGGCGGGATACATAGTATTTTATCAAGATCACATGGACCAATCAGATCTCATCATTCTGTTTGTTGTTTAACACCGCACTCAGCAATATTCCAGCTATATGACGGCAGTCTTTAAATAATCGAGTCTGGACCAGACAATCCAGTGATTGACATCATGAGCATCGATCCACGCAATTGAGATTGATGACATGCATCAACCAAGTCAGCGAGCCTGACCACCCGATCCCGTTAGTTCATCATTCTGACATGGAGGTATGATAATAGAAATTGTAACTTCTTTGGTAGCTGGTCACAAAACTGCTTGTTAGCCCCAGCGATGTGTTTTCTCTGTATGTACAGGCCAAGATGCAAACAGTATTGTTACATTTACAAGGGCCACGGTACATGAACTATTATATTTTTTTCCGATTTGAAGGTGGTGGCCCGGGAAGATTCCTGGGTAGAACAGGTCTTAAGCAACCCATGCTCTCCGTAAAAGGCGACTATGCTTGTCGAAAGAGGCGACTAACGGGATCGGGTGGTCAGGCTCGCTGACTTGGTTGATACATGTCATCGATCCCAATTGCGTGGATTGATGCTCATGCTGTCAATCACTGGATTGTCTGGTCCAGACTCGATTATTTACTGACCACCGTCATATTGCTGTAATATTGCTGAGTGCGGCGTTAAACAACAAAACAACAAACAACAAAGTTGCCTTTTACGACAATCATGGGTTGCTGAAGCTAACCCGGATCTCTTCATCAATTACGTCGATTCTAGTGTGACGTCATTCCGACCTTTCGTCACAATACGATTCGAATGACGTCAACAATGCCTTCCGGATGGCGTAAATAAAAGCGACAAAACCCTTTCGGTATATTTCATAAGAATTCCCGGCCTAAAACCAGAGTCCATGTGTTTGTGGATTTTGAGTATGATGTCATGATTATATTGCCATGGAACCGAAAAAAAATGGCATTTGCTTTCTACTCATAAACAATATATTTCTCTAATAGTATTAAAATTGGCGTAGAAATACTGTCAAATGCATTTTATTCTTAGCGCCAGATTCGGTAAGACTTCAGCACTTGTGAGATATCTTACACAAGTGGATATTAAAGTGGAGGCTGTGTATAAATGGTAAAAAGTCTAATGTTATTCACTTCAGACAGAGAAGTATGTCGCAGTGTGAGCATGTATTCAGATGTAACGATGTTGTGATTGAATATACTGATTGTTACAGATACCTAGGCCTGTGGATGAATGCGTTTTGCGATATGCGCATGGCTGTGAAGGAACTGGTTAAATCAGCATCAAGTGCTCTAGGCTTTCTGTTGCATAAGTATAATATGTGTGGAGATATGCATCACAATGTTTTGACTCGATTGTATGATAGCCTTGTTCAACCTGTTTTAACATATTGCTCTGGTATTTGGGGTGTAAATAAGTTTTTGGAAATGTATACAATACAACACAGAGCATGCAGAGCTTTTCTTGGAGCTTCTAGAAATACACCAAATCTTGCTGTTCGGGGTGATATGAGTTGGTTTGACCCATTCGTGACCAACTCGTGTTATTCCGGGACCAGCCGTATAGCGACTCGTGCCCCTCTCGTGGCCATTTTTGCGACCGGGTTCCGTCTTAGCGCAAACGGGCAAACCTAAAATAATTGTCAACTCGTCGCGTAATGGTTCACATATATGTCCCCATATATTATATATATTTCAGATGCAATTAAAAGCACATCGGGACATGCGGATTTATACAATATGATTGACCACATTTAACTGTGTCTTGGGTATATTTTTAGATGCAAGACATATGTAAAATCATAAATTGTTTCTGAGGGATTCTTTGATGAAGAACTTGAAATCATACGCGCATTCTGAATGGTTTGTCGTATTTTCGCACATAACATTCATCGATAGGGGGACGAGTCTTCTTGCAGGTTACGGAAAGGGGCGAGTGGTGACGAATGGGTTTGACCCTCAGTATAAGGTGAATATTGAAGCAGCAAGTCTTTGGTGTAGGCTGGAAAGAATTCCAGATACCAGAATTGTATCAAAAATCCATTCGTGGTCCAAAAAGTACAATAAATCATGGGAAAATAAGTTTCTCAAGGTTCGAAATGGTTTTGATCTTGTACCACTGATTACCTCCCTTGACAAATCACCTGGGTGTATTGTACATAAAGTATCTGCACATCTCAAGGAGGTAGATTTTAATAACTGGTATCAGCGTATACAATCAATGCCAAAACATAGAACTTACAGGCTTTTAAAGATTTGTTTATCTACTGAATGTTATGTCCCACGTTACAAACGTAGTATTTTAGCTTCATTTAGATGTGGCACGCTTAAACTAGCAATAGAAACGGGCAGATATTTTAACCCACCAATCCCCGCTGCAGAACGCATTTGTAAATTTTGTAATCTTAATTGTGTTGAAGATTAACCCATTTTCTTTTACAGTGGCCATTAAAATATGATGTATTTTACCTATTTGGCTATTAATCTGTATTTTATGCGTGACACTCAAATAAACAAGTCATTCATTCATTCACTCATTCAGTTATCCCTTTCTCGTTGGCTGTAAAATTCCTTCTGTTTAGAACCTCATGCCACCATTTACCTATTGAACTAGGTAGGTGGCACAAAATCCCTGTCAATGAACGAACGTGTAAACTCTGCGACATGCGCGATATTGGTGATGAATTTCATTATATTTTTGTTTGTCCTTTTTTCAAACCCCAACGGAAACTATATGTTCCAATTTCATATGCTAAAAACCCAAATATGTTTAAATTCAAAAACTTTTTAATTGTAAAAAAATAAATGTCATTAAGAAACTCTGTACATTCTGTAATGTCATTATGAAAACTGTAAAATCTTCCATGTAAACCATCCTGCCATCTGATGTATTTACTGTCTGCAAATTTGTACCTTATATGCCGAGGATCCCGGCCTGAGCGTAAATAAGTTCTGTTCTGTTCTGACAATTGGCTGTGCGCAATCAGACGCGAATCAACACAATCACAAGTGACGATTCACCGGCTTGTTAAACTTGCATTATGTTAATCTTAATTGTCCATGTAATTGGACTAATCTAATGAAAAAAAAAATTTCATTCAATAATGTTTACATTAATTTCGGCGATATTGTAATATATTATTCTGATAAAATAATAACTTCAGATACAATATCTTCCGACCATTGCATT